TGTGTTCATTTAACATCGGGTAGTTTAAGTCAAAAAGTCTCCAGTCTTTAATCTAATCGTTTCTTATTGAACTCTATCATGTGCATTTTGTTCATAGTAAATTGTCTCTCTGTCGAAATTAATTGTTCTTTTCACCGTTACTCGGCTATTGCAACCCACTGTCCTCGAATTGTTCGTTAGAGAAATTCTCGTATGCAACTGATATCCTGATGAGAGTTTGACTTTTATTCCGTTCAATTATTGTTCCAGCATAGCTTCGCTCTCAATCCTTTATTTACCCATACCATGGAGTTTTGAGGTGATCATGATGTGTGTTTTACATAGGTGTAGTAGAGGAGTCAATTAAATTTCATGACGAATTTCGCCGTACCCACACATTGCAAGAAAAAATGTGAACAGAAATATACAGCTGTCTCGACGTCGTCTAGTCCCATCAGTAGAGCGAATCCTTCAAACCAATTGAGGATGGAATTTGGGACCGCACCGGTAGAATGCAAGCGCACTACCCACTTGACCATCTGGAAGCAGATCAAACTGTTCCACACGATTGTAAATCAAACCATATTTGTAGGTTTGTAACTGGAATCTCAGCTGGCTCATCTCATTACAGAATGCACTTTACGGAACAGCACGTATGTTCCATTAGGGTGGCAGTCTGAACACACAGCAGCCAATTTTGTAATCGAGCTCCGGAGTTACGCACGTACCCATTAACTGGCCAACCTAATGTCCTTTAATATCATGTGACGCTTAGGGGTTGAGCGTGATGACACCATGAAACTGTGGTGAGTCAGCCCTCCGAGATGATGCCAGCCAAACGGCTGCACGTTCTTGCTCCCGGACATTGACCACAGGCCCCGATCACTTAATGGCCACATAGTTCAAACAGAAGCCATGTGACTCGAAGACCAAGGACGGTGATTGGTTGATACCCATTGCAAGAATGTCATCGAACATTGAGACACTTCCGAAAATTGACTATGGTAATGGTTACCTGATTTAGCTCACAAGCAAGAAATCCAAGTGTTTACATCTTTGCCAATTATTTATAGTTTGATTCCGTATCTCATAATGTTGGGAAGTAACGAAGATCAAGATATCACCATACGTCGCCTTGACGACAACCTTTTAATTATATGAATTGTTTAATTAGTGTTATTGTTCTTTTTCTCGTTGACAAACATTTTTCACTCATTCAGCCTATTTAACCCATTGTGAGGGAGCGAAAACAACGCTTGAGTGTTACTTTGTGTTCTAATGTTTCGTCAATGTCTTTCTATCTTACCACTCTACATTGGCCTTTCGTATAATTGACAAAATATCAAGTCAATAGTAACGTTGGATTCAACGACCAACTATGTTCAGTATGAATCATTCATTTGTATACATCTGGTTCTTGTACTCTGATCTGTATATAATTACACTTATAGTATCTTGGAGACAGTACAAGGTCAGCGCCTTTTACAGAAGAGAGATGAATTACTTGAACTCTTATCCGGGTAAGTCATCCTAATCTACGAGTGATTTTAGCTATCAGATTTGTGTACCCATTTCATCATGGCATAAAATACCGAAGATAATCACATATTTTGAAGAGACGGAAAAGATGTACTAGTCCCACCGTCACAATCAGTCAATACACTCAGTGTCTCTTCCTTCATCCAATCGGGTAGCCGAAAGACAGCATCATCGAAAGAAAGTGCATAGTTAATGATTTTTAAACTGAACTGAACTGATTGCCTTATCAAACAGGAAATAAGGTTGTCTCAAATTATCAGGTCTTCAAAGAAGTTATCACCAATGAGTGTACTACCCTTGTTTATCTGCGCAACGGTCAGTGCGAATTGCAGCATATCAATTTTGTACTATTATTGGGCTTGGGCGAGTGACGATATATGTTGAAAATGGGTTTTGTAGCGAAGGAGCACACGGACACTCCGTGACTCAATAGCAAAGGGCGTATCAAGATGCGACCAACTAATCAGAAACGATGGATTCTGGTCACATCTGAGGTGGTATATTTTGAAACGTTTGCTCAAATCACAAACTGAGCCTTCATATTTACGTGACAAAAATGAAGTTTTTTTATTGTTAACAAAACGTCTTTTCCTCGATGTAATATTGAGTGGGCCAAATAACACTTTGCACCAAAAGAATGTGCTTACTGTAATCATCCGTGCCGGTCATTTAATATCAGAATTAGTTGCGTTTCTATAAATCATTTGGAACCTCGTATAATTTCTCTAAGAATTAGATTTCTATACAGAAAACTTGATCAGATGTGTGTGTGTGTGTGTGTGTGTGTGTGTGTGCGTGATACGCACAATGTGTGTGCAAACACTTCAGTCTATCTGTAGAACTGATTTCAGACTTCAAAAGTGAATTCGTCATGTATATTGCAAATGAAGCGTGAAGCACTGGACAACAGTTTTGACCTGGTTGGGTCTTATCAGCAGTGCGGATCCAGCAACCCAACTGGGGATCAGTTCAGGCTTCATTTGCTATATACACGATGAATTCACCTTTGAAATTGAACCAAATCCTCCATTACTCACTTGATTTCAAACTGTATTCCGAAACTCACTACTTTGATGCTCGTCAGCAGACAGTTTGGGTAAAATCAGTTGCAGGTCAAATGTGTGAAGTCTGATTCCTCGCTAACTGACTCGCTTCTAATCGGTAAAAATTGATGTGAAACAGGTGGGGTAATTGGAATCAGTAATTCGTTTTGGAACACCGTGCTGTCGAGTTTGAAAAGTTTCCGACTGTGCAGTGCTGTGATCGTATGAATTATTTATATGGATTGATTTTTACGTCTTGCGTTCGTTGTGTCACATATTACACAGTTAACTATATGTCCGTGATGCTGTTTATAAGCTCCTTTCGAATTTAATTTGACTAGAGAATGAATCCATTTATTGATTATTAGTTGTTCCTTATCAACAACTTTTCACACTCAGCTTTCGGGCTCAGCGCCTGGAGGAATTCTGTAAGAGTGCACCGGAAAAGTGCAAGATCAACTTAAATTTGCCACTGCTTCGTCGCAATCCAACCAACCAGACACTGGAAGTGAACTTTGACGATCAACTAGTCGAAGTGTTGCGCGAAGTACACTATTTGCTCATTCTCAGCGGCGAAACCGAGTGTGCCGAGTCTGCACCGGAAGTTGTGGTGTTTGGATTACCCGAGAAAATCAAGGGTATTTTGCCAGCCGCCACATTGGAGGTTTATAAAAAGACCGAACCGTTACGCGAGTCTCGTTTGAAATTGGCCCAGATACAGAATGCCTATAACGCAGTACGACAACAGACTCTGACCGTAGAATATCCTCTGATTGCCGATGAGGTTGATGCATTCGATAAGGACTTGGCACCCGCTCTGAAATCGATGACTTGGGAATCAGGTTAGTGCTTGAGGTCTATTCATTTGGTTCCTCGTGTTCACTTGTTCTGAGCAATACTTTAGCCTCTGTTATCACCTTCTGCTAATTGCCAAAAAAAACGTTTAATTCTACCACTTGAAGAGGACTTGGTGAAGTATTTGATATACAAATTTCATCAATATACATGAGAAAAAGGTTTGCCAGAATGGACTGATCGCATTCCCAACTTGAGTGATATGGAAGGCAATAAGTAGTCCGGGGAATGAATTTCGTTTATCGAAACTCATTCTTCATTGATGTATGTGTGTAGTCTAGCTTTCGTTCAACACTGATGGTCTGTTAAGTACAGTTTTGAAGGACTACAACCGGACCATGGTGAAAAAAGCTCTGATTTTATTACAGATGTTGTCCCAGCTGAATGTACCTGATCCCACTCAATTTACCTACCGCGGTTATAGGTCAACCATTGATGCGTTGGCATCACTCATTATTTCTTCTTTTTTGGACAGAAAATGTAAAGCTATTCGGCTGTTTCTTTGATTAGAAGTGATGCCTTCAATTGTGGTGATAGGTCCAAACTTCTTCACACTCTCTGAGAAGGTTATTCAGCCGCAGCTTACCAATCTATTACGTAATTATTCCACCCATCAATTACAGCTTATCAAATATAAGGGTCACGACTCTTTACTTTTACCCTCCACTCAAGAAGTTCTTCAAGGTGCTATTCTGTAATGGTAATGGAGGTAGTAGTAGTGAAGTTACGCACAGAATTCAGGACACGAACTACGCAATCGGAATCACGGAACACGAATTAGAAAACCGATGGCACTGGACCGCAATGGCTCGAACTCGCTATAACCCGCAGGATCGAGACGCGAGGAAAAAGGCCACAAGACAGGCGAATCACAAAGTCCTTTATTGAAGGAAATGAAAGTGAATATATATGTACACAAGAAAAGATCATTGGCTACCTTAGTTTCCACCAATCATATTGCATCACATCTTGCGTCATACTGCTCTTCTCTGCATTGTATCTGATTGGCTGGAACGGTCCACCAATGCCGTGTATCCGGAGACTGTGCACGTGCTACTGGCGTCAGTGCTCAAGGTCGATTGACTACCAATGTCTGGAAACTGTATCGCGCTGCTCCAGGGCAGGCGTGATCTCGTAGATCCGAATCACCACATATTCTCTTTCCCTTCTTGTTCACAAATGCCTGCTTTTGATGAGTGTTTGCTCATTAAGTATGCTGATGATGTTGTGCATAGCATGAATTTTTCGGAATCCTCCACCTACCCAAAACTTATGCAGAATATTTCACTGTTCACCTACAGGTCTTCACATTACAATCTTGGACTGAATCCTTCTAAGTGTAAAGATGTCTTATTTTCTTTGCTGAGGGGT